GCCCACTCTAGGAAACTCTGTATGACGAGTTATTTCGGAATTTTCTCAGCTTCACTGAGAACAGTAATATTCTGATATTGCCAGTAAAAGTGACACGTTTTCGTAGAATTCTTTATCCCCAATGAATTATTATTTTTATCATAAATCCTTTTTTACTGGTAATTAAATTGGTAGTCGTGGATTGCGCTTCATTCTGCATATTTTTTGGGCGATGGGTTCTTGGTTGGTTCGTCACCAGCCAGAGTTCCCTGTTACTGATTCCTATTATTCTGGCCATCTGACCTTCTGTAACGAGCGTAGGCAGTAGCTGGTGAATATCTATAGTTTGTTGGAAATGCCTCTTGTAACGCGCCAAGTCTTTGAACTAACATATGGAAGCACTGGCTTGACTGACATTGGTGCTGAAAATCAGGATCTTGTTCACGTTTATGCTGAGTGCAGTCGATCTCCACACTGGTTTCAGGTTAATGAATACCTGTCCTGCTTTTCCGATCCTGGCTTTCACATCCTCATCTGGGCCACCGCCTGTAGTTGAAACGATGCTGCCCGGATAGGTGAAAGAGGCCACTTCCTTCAAGTTGCTCCCATTGATGGTGATTAGGGCTTGTTGTTGGTTGGGTATCTTCACCACCTCTGTCTTCTCTACGTTCACTAGAAGTCTCGTCTTTTGTCAAATTGTTAGATTTCACTTGTAGATCCTCAAGTTTGTGTGACATTGGACACAAGTCATCGGCGAAATCCCAACCTTCTAGGATCTTTTACCCGGTGCGGTGATCTCCCACTTCTCGCTCCTCACTGTTTGCTGCATGATCCAGTTAGCCACAACCAGGATGACGATCGACGATAGTAGACAACTTTATTTGACTCCTGCCTTCACTTCAAGGACATCACTGAGCTTTCCATTTTGAACTACTTGGCATGTGGCGTCTTCATATAGTTGTTGAATGAGACTGATAAAAATTTGTGGCCCTGGAACCTTAGCGTTGAAGCTGCTGCGTGCCAAGTTACTTGCCGGTCGACGCTATCGAAGGCCATTTCAAAGTGGGCGAAGTTGAGATGAAGAGATGACTGCCATTCTATGCTCTGTTCTATGATAATGCGTGGCGTCGCAATTCGGTCCGCATATGATTTGTACTTCCTGAATCCGGCCGGCCTGTTCCAGCCTTAGTTTTGAATCCAGTGCTTCCTTTAGTCTCTCCAGGATGATGCGGCATAGTATTTCGCTCGCTTGGGGTGGATAGGAGCGTGATTCTGCGCCGGTTCTTGCAAACACCTAGGTCGCCCTTCTTTGGGAGTTAGAAAAGGGAACCCTTCTTCCAATCTGCAGGTACCTCCCCTTCATCTGAGTTGATCTCATCCCTTATAGTAACCTGGTTATCTGATACAATGTTGTTAGGTCTCCGTCTCTCTTACCTGCAGCCCGTTCTGCTTCATTTGCCAGTGTGTCATGGAAATGTCTTTTGTCTTTCCGCGCACTCTCCTTCACTTCCTTGTCCAGTGTTTTATGCGCTGTACCCAGTTCCTCTTCTCCCTCCTCTATCAGCTTCCATATGTGCATCGAGAACCATTCCTCATCTTTTTTCTTAATCCTTCCTAGTACGGTTATCCAGGTTTCGTTCCGCATAACTTTCGAAGACTTCCAGTGCTTATCCACACAGGTTCTTTCAGGGATGTTGCTCGACATGTCCCATTTTGTCTTGATGGCTGACGTGAAGATGTCCTTTGTAGTTTCGTCCTTTAGTTTGTGTTCCGGGCTCTAAACTTGAAACGTGGTCTATCACCAACTTCTTTTAAGGCTATTAACTTGATTTGGAAGGTTCCTTGCACTAGGCAGTGGTTTGAACTTACATCTGCTCCTCTTCTTGACCTTGTGTCAAGCAGGCTGCTTCTCCACTTCCTTGAGATTGAGATGAAGTCGATCTGGTTTTTAGTGTGTACTGGTGTCTGGTGGAATCCATGTCGCTTTGTGGATATCCTTGTGTTGCCTCCAATCGTCAAATCATTGAACGCGCAGAAATCTGCAAACAGTTCTCTTTTCTCGTTCATTTCGCTGAGCGCTTCTCGGTCCATGGTTAGTTACGCTCCCGTGTTGTCCGTCCTGAGTCTGGCATTCATGTCACCCCACCCGTTGGAATTCCGATGTCGCCAACTGGGGTCTTGTCTAGTGCTG